AGCTGCCCTGGCCAGATAAAATCCAATAATATTAACAGTTAAAATGCCGCTTGAATAAAAAGGTCTTCGCCTGGCGCCGAAAAACAAATAACGACAGCGCCAGGCGGACCTCTCTGGGGAGCGCATTCCATAACTTAGGCACCACCGCAGAGAAAGCCCTCCTCCGAGTACCCACCCTCCTAATTTCTTTCACGGAGGGTTCCCGGAGAAGGGCCTCCCCTGCCGATCTCAAGGGGCGGCTGGGCATATATGGATTACCCACACACCTGCTTGAAATACATAGAGGTTAAAAAGAAACCTGGCAAAGCTGCAATTAAAGGCTACCCCAAGATTGGGAGCTACTGCGTGCACAAGAACAAGCAGTGAAAATGTTTCCCCTACCTTCCCACCAAAGTCACAGCCCTAGCAATCATCATCACTTAAGCTTAGTCTGGATTTTGGTCAATTCACCCACATTCAGTCTTTAACTATGGCAGAGCAATCAGTGACGTGTGTATTAATGCTGTCTTCTGTTTCAAGTGATAGTACCCATATAGATATGTGATGCAGGATTAGAACAATGCAAATTTATATGATTTATTAACTATATGCAATTGTAACTATGGCTTCCCTCTGATGATTTGACTCTTGCTATGAAGTTTTCTAGGTAGGCACTTTAAGATAACACTGTAAGCTTCAGCTAACTGCTGGAAGAATAAAATTAATTTGAAGTAGCTCTGAGATTGCAGGATGTGAAGAAAGGTTATCTCAACCAGTGGGCATCCAGGCTGCACACAAGGGCAAGAGGGACTAAAATGCAATCATGCCAGACTCTGCAAAGAATACCTAGAGAGGCAGGGGCTGAATTGTACTTGTACTCATGTGGGCAAAGCAGATAATACCCTTGTTACAGTGCAGATGTGATAGCTCATTCTCTGGGCAAATTTGTCAGATTTAGCATCTAGGATGACGTAGCTGGCAGTATGAGGGCAGACACATTATTACTGTTAATTACTGATTGCCAACACCATTGCTGAAATGATTTATTCCATGATCTGTCAGTTTTGATATAAGGTGAGCCACTTAGGAATTATCTATACTATCCGACTCCTTGAAACCCCTAGCATCAGGAAAGGAGCAGTTTACAGTTTCTACTCTAACCAGATCTCTATTTTGCCCATGATTTTTAAAAAGCGGTTTTCAGTCCTTACACTAGTCCTTCTGCTTCCTGTTATATGCACTTCCTGTAGATGAAAGGTACCTATGCTGAGGAAGCAGTGGAAGAAAATGCCTGACAGCAACTGAGCCAATAGCCTTGAATCAACAAGGCTATCTACAGAGAATTCATTGAGTTCTGCAGGTAAAATATCCCCAGGAAGTTTTAGAATATCATGGAATAGTAGAGTTGGAAGAAGCCAAGAAGGCCATTGGGTCTGACCCCCTGCTAGTGCAGAATGCTAAGTTACACCACCTGACTGAGGTGACTGTCCAGTTGCTTCTTGAATGCCTCTAGTGTAGGAGAGTCTACAGCCTCCCTAGGTAATTGGTTCCATTGTCATACTGCTCCACTGAGCTCTGTGTGTGGAACAGAACATGACAAGGAATTCCCGAATGGGGCAGTGACCTGGTCCTTCAGGAATGCCATGTTATGACTATGATGACAACTTCCAATCAACAAGTCTCTTTTTCCCAGCTTGTTTCAGAACATTTGGTTCAAATGGTATGCTCTGCTATTTGTAAGATAATGTCTATCTTTTTGAGAGGTCCATGGACTTCATAGAAACAAAGCTGTCCTGTGTTTGCCTACAAGATCCAACTTTAGCATGCATGGTGAAATCATCCATCAACTATAAAGCTGAACAGACCAAACACAACCACCAAGCTTAGCTCAGCCAAATATATAATCTTGGATGTATCATGCTCTGGATGCTTCCAGAGAACCTAGTTTGTTGCTTGCTGCTTCAGAAATTATTGCTACTTTTGATAAATGTGTGATTTCCAAATTCTAAAATATTTTCAAACCAGGCACCATGGGCTTCTGTATATAAGGCTTTTATCATACTACATTTTTTTCCAGGGGGTTGTCTCTCTGCCTTTCCATATGTTCCATTATGCAAACACTAGGTGGTTCCAGTACAGCAGAATTGCCTAAGTACATCAGGGTTTCATGCTACTTTTTACAGATAATATCAGACTTTCCTCAATCTATAAAAGCTGCAGAAATGTTTGGCTGCAAGTTACAGGAGAAGCCTGGGAGTATGACAATGTTATGCAAGGCGCTTGCAAACTATTACAATGAACAATAAATGCTTTATGTAGAAAAGCTCTAACATAAAGAATGGTCAGGAGATATATCACAGCCTTGCCCTTCCCCTCACACCCAGATCTTGGTTTCTAGAGCAGCAAGTACTAGGCTTCATTTTGCTAAAAAAATAAAAAATGTTCCTCTTGATGTGCAAGGCCTAATCTCTGCAAGTAGGGCTAGGATTTGGGACTGTACACAGGCAGTGCTTCTGCAGAAGTACAGGAAGCCGCAAAGTACACATGGCTATGAACTGCCAAGCATCTCAACTCCCTCTTTTTAAGAAATATGGTTCCAGAGCTTATGAGCCAGATCTATCATGCTGTAATGTATTTTCTTACTTCATACTTCCATGGTTCAGCCAAAGAAATTCAAAGTGTGAACCCAATGAATGTCATTCACTACATGCACGCATAGCTGGGATATCCCATTCCCTCTCTCAGCCCCTGTTCCCTCCCTCCCATGCCACCTACCAAGCCTGCAAGCCATCCAAAGGGCCCTCAGGGGGTCCACCATTTCCTGCTAGCTGCTGCCGTCTCTTCCACTGGATCAGCTCATCATCCAGGATTATTGTCTGCTGCTTGCGAAGCAAGGCCAGTGTCTGCTGGTGCTTTTCAGCCAGCTCCTGAAGAAGAGATGTGCATATGGGGTTAATGGGCAGGAGGACACTGCCGAGGCTGAAGGGGGGAAGGAAGGAGGCTTGAGACTGAGGAGGGTGGAACTTACCACCCGATATTGTTGCAGTGTTTGTGCTTCACGGTGAAGCCAAGCTTCCAACGTTACTTTCTTCTGCTGCAAAGTGGGCTCACGGGCCATGCGCTCTTGGGGGTTTAGCTGTGACAGCTGAGAAATCTGGGCTGGGAGGGGGAGAGATAGCGTATTAGGTCATTTCGTAAGTCTCATGTGCAGTGCCAGCTTCAGATGTTTTAGGGCCCTTGAGCAAGGCATCCTCAATGGGACTCCTTCCTCAGAGAGTTTTCTTCTCAGCAGCTGCTCTTGCTCCTAATCGTCATTCGTATCATTGCTTCCTCTTGCTGGCTTAAAAAGCCAGGGAGCAAGCAGGCAGTAGGACCCACTGCTTGTTCTCCGCACTACCGCCATTGTCTGGGCTCCAGCAAGAGGCAACTGAGCTAGCAGGTTGCAAAAATGAAGAAAAGGAACTACTCCAATGAGGTCCTGTCAGCATTGTCCTCTCTACACTGACTGGTAGCACCTCTCCATATCTCAGAAAGAAGTCTTTCCCAGCCCTACCTGGAGATGTTGAAAATTGAACCTGGAGCTTCTGGCAAACAGAGCAGGTTCTCTACCACTGAGCTTTCCTTTGCCTTGGCCAAGGCTGGTGCTTGTACACAGTACTACTTCTGCCCCCTTCCACAGACACACCTTGTAAACGAATGCTTTCTTGGTACTGGATGATGAAGTATTCCTGTGTCTGCTGAAGCTTCTTCAACTGGCTGTCAGTATCCTGGGTCACCAGGCGTAATTCCTCAAAAGTCTGGTTGATCTGCAAGTGCTTCTGAGACAGAGCATCAGCCAGGCTGCTAGCAGGGGAGGGGCTCTGCAGACATGGGCAATATGAAAGGACAGAAAAAGGATGGAGGTGACTGCTACATGCAGCAACAGAGGCTAAGCCATCACTTTTGCCATTCCCACACCAGCATAGGCCACCTCCTCCTCAAGCTATGTTTCACTCACATCTGTGGCTTCTCGCACCAGGCGCTGCTCATGATAGAGAATGTGTCGGATGCAGCGCACCAACTCCAGAGGGCAATGCTCATACGTGTTCTGTAGAGAAAGAAAGAGGAAAAAGCCCAAGATGGAGGGTGAAGGAGTGTAGAGGAACAACTTGTGGCTTCATAGCCTATTCACTCATGAGGAATCCTGAATGCAACATTTTTCATATTCTATCTCCACAGCCCCTGGAACTCACCTGCAGCTGGGTTGCATAGTGACCCAGTTTGATCTTCAGAAGGAAGCAATCCTCGCCCACCTGGTGGTCAGCCTTCTTTTGTAGCTCTTGGATTAGTCCCTCCAACAACTGCGTGGCTTTGGTACCTTCCTGGGGGTTGTCCAAGTCAATGGAGTCCCTGCCAGGTAAGCATGTGTGTTTCAGTTCCTGAGGGCAACTCCTGCCTCTGCTCATATGCTTCTCCCAAAATGAAATGACAAATTCACCATTTCTGAACTTTCAGATGAGGGACAGGAACCCTCTAGTTCCTTTTTAAAAGCCCATATCCTTTTGCTCTATGATAATTAATCTTAAAGTAGCAGTGCTACCTGATTTCTTATGAATAAAATTCCAAATGAAAGTTCTAAATGAATTTAGAACTACTGATTCATTCATAATCTGCATTTAAAGTGCACATAAGTCCACCCATTTACCACACTGACATGAAGGACAACTCAGAGTGCATTAAGGCATAACGCTAAGATGGGAAGTAGAGTTTTCTCCTGCCAGGTATGCTGGCTCAGTCATCAACCTTGCCCTTCCATGTATACTAGGCCATCTATTTTTTAAAGGATTATTTTAAATGCTACATATTTTTATCCATTTAAACATTTATCACCTTGATTTTTCAAAAAGCACAATCGATTTAAAAAGAATTACAAAATTGTTCCTGGAATGGGAAAGAAGTAATTTTTGATCTACTCAGCGCTCATTGGTGTGCATGCAACAAACAGATCCCGCTGGAAACACACAAAGTCTTTTTTTAAACAAACTATCCCAGTTTGTTCCAACCAGATTTTTGTACTACAATTATCATCACGTTTTGCCATTGGCCATGCTGGCTGGCAATGATGAGAGCTGTAGTGCAACCCATTCAAAGGGCCCCGTGTTGAAGAAGGGTACTTTAAAACACCTACAGTGAGTGCACTTTAAACTATGTTATGTCTGTTCATATGCAGAACGGAGGAAGAAACAAAAACTGGACAACAGTGGCTGTGCTGACACGGAAGAATAAATTGGAATTGTTAGTGAATCCTGTCATATCATGAATGAGCGTTGTGCTGATGCATGCAGTTGGGTCACTGCCAGTTGGCACTTCTCATTAATCAGCACAAGTGGGTAAACAAACCAACAGCTGTTTGCTTTGCATGATGTCTGAACCAGGGATCCTTATTGAGAAGATCAATTTGCTCCCTAATAAACCAGGATTCAAAAGACAAGAACAAACCCTGTCTTGTTCCTGACTTATTTGGCAGCAACAAATCAGGATGTTTCTTGGACATTGCATGAAGCAAACAATTTCTGGTTTTTTACCTGCTCACACTAGTGGAACAAGTCAAGCAGGAGTGAATCAACTGATTGATGGTAAGCCAGGAGTCAACAGCAAACCTGGATCACTGTTCCATGTAAATGAGGCTAGTGAAAGTGGGGGTAAGATGAAGGCAGTTGTTGGAAAAAATAATCAGTTAGATGGCTCTTTCCATAGGTTCCATGGACCTAGAAATTGCCTTAGAGAAAAGGGATGTTCTGAAAGAAGGCTTACTCTCCAACAATTCCACAGTTCCAGAATGAATGGGAAAATTACAGGGTGGGAATTAGAGGGAAACTGAGGGTAATTACTTGTTCAATTGGCACTTACATCTGTCTCCAAAAGCCTAGAAGTACAACTGCTGACAGATCCAGAAGGAAAATGGCGATTGAAAGGATAATGAACAAAAACTTAAAAAATGGAATTGAATCAGGGACACCTGGGAGACACATGAAGTGGGCAGATACCTTGCCTGGAGTACCACAGCAGCTTACCAGGAATAGGAAATGAAATCCAAACTATGTATTTCTTAGCTGCATAGTTTTGACATTAAATGAAGGGTTTTGCCCTCCACGAACTGCCAACATGCCCCCAACAATGTAGGGCAGGTAGGATGGTATAACACCTCCTGCCACAACTACAATCATAGTCAGGTTTGGCACCCGCAAGCCTGCAATTGTCCATAATGATCCAATTACTTCAATAGTGCCTTTCTTGTTAACGCAAACTGCAGGTGCAGTGGCCTGATCCGGACTGTAGTTAAAGCTCTGTATCCCCCAAGCTGGCATCCTGCATCAGCCTTTTTACACTGGCAATGTGTGATTAAAAAATACACCGAAGCCAAAACTTCATGACCAAGATAACCTGCAGTTTGATCCTCACCACAACGTGCAACAGAAGATTTGTTCATCTTATAAGGGGTCAATATCTCATCATGCTCTGCTATTCTGCAAGACTGAGCAGCCAGTCTTCAAGCTCACCTACCATGGCTGGCTCTCAATCCACTGAGAGAGGTAATGGCGGACCTCAATAGGGAAGTGTTGCCCATACAGGGCCTGCATCTGCCGCAATGCATCCCCCTGCAGCTGCTGAGCTTGGATCCACACTGCCATGACTTAGGACCTGGTGGAAGAGAGATTTGTCAAAAGGAGCCTTTATATTCTTCTTCTGTGCCTTACTCAAACCTCCAAAGGTCTAATGGCCTGTCTCCCACTGCAGACTAAAGACAGGCATATCAAGTGTCTACTGTATATTATAGTGTATCTCCAGAGCGCCTACAGCTAATGGGGTGGCATATAAATTGAATAAATAAATAAATAAATAAAGCGTGCCTTCCCCATACAACTTACCTTGTACAGCTTGATCAAACACTTAAAAGACACCTGACCTCCCCTGGAAATAGATAATTTATTTCACATATTTACATTTTGCCTTTTTTTTTCCAAAGGAAGGATTGGGTTTTATTTAAATTGGATGGTTGTACTGATGTTTCAACCTTGGAATGTACACATTCGGTGCCATGAGGAATACACATTATTGCCTCCTCTTCCCCTCACCAAGTGGGAATTATAGCTTACATTCCTCCAACAGGCTTATTGAAAAGATCAAGGGAACAAAAGCAGGACTGATCTCTACAGTATGAAGTTCTGGGAACCAAGGCTTCCCAGAAAATTAGGCTACCTAATTTTGTGTGAAAAGCACCTTCAAACCAAATGTTTGCAGGGGTACAACCTTGGCAGAAAATTAGTTGCTAGATCCTTGATTGTGACCTATAGGGCTGTAGAGGAACTAAGCACATTTTTGGAGGAAAAAAAAAGGTAACTGGTTCAGGGGGTGGAGCCTAGTAGCACACAGAAGGGAACACTGCTGGGCAGCTCAAGAAATATGAGTTTGCCTGAGCCTGGGGAAGAAGACTGATATTAATGATTACATTCATATGCTGCCTTTTTTCCTCTTGCAAGGAAATGAAAGGGGCTAACATGATCCTCTTCTCCAATTTATTTCCATAACAACCCTGTGAGTGGGTTAGGATGAGAGTCAGTGCCTGGCCAAAAGTCACCCAAAGAGCTTCATATCTGAGGGGGGACCAGAACACAGATCTTCCAAGTCCCCCCTCCACAACACTCCAACCACTGTATCACACTGGCTCTTCATTTTACATACAGGAAAAAAATGCATCTAAATGGAAAATAGATCCTTCACTTCTACTTCTTCAATCTCTTTTCCTCCTGCAAAAATCATTAAGGAAAATATGGAAAAGCCACACAATGTCTTTAGATTGCTAGTGCTAGGAGCAATCTGGAACTGCTCCAAAGCCTTGAGAAGAAAGCTAAAGCTGAAACATTAGCTCAGACCATGAGATCTCACTACCCTGCCTCTGCTTACTGATTTTCATCCCATTCCATTATGTTATTCAGATAAAACAGCCTTCAGCCTAAAGACTCATTGCAAACCAGTTATTCTGTGATTTAAAGCATTTTGCATGTGGGTTAGATACATTTTCCTTGATTCCATATGCTCTCTAATGAAAAAGAAAAGTTATCTTGCATGACTTAGCTTATACAGTCAGAAATGATAATTACATGCATTTATCAACAAGCACTCCTGAGAATTATGTCATCTAAGGTAGATAGGCAGAAGTGAAGTGGGATACACCCATTGGCTGCAAAATTGGAGAAACTAGTTGAGAGAAACTAGAGGTTATGAATTAACTTCCTCAAAATCAAGCAACTTGTTTACATTTCTAAAAGCCGCCTGCCTTGAAGCTGCTTCTTCTGAGCTGCTTAATCTGAGATCCGTGGTTGATGCTTGTTGCTCTTCAGTGGGAGAAGGTGAAGGGCATGACATGCTTACAATTCCACATATTTCAGGGCTGAATTCCAAGGCTAAGGCAAGCAAAGCTAGAAGTTTGCATTTACCTTGCTTTGTTCTTTCAAGCATCTCTGTTAAGGGCAACAGTCAGATAAAGGCCCAGTAAATAATAGTGAGATTTCTACTTTTAATGGAAAAGAACCGTTAAACACTTAATGCATGTTTCTCTTTCTCATACATCTCTTCCTACAAAGCTCCTTCCCACTTGTCCACTGAACATCTAAAAAGCAAGACCTGGTGACAAGCGCTCCAAGGGTAGCCTTCCTCAACCAGCTGCCTTCCATATGTACTGGACAACTCCCATAAGAAACCTCAGTCCAATACATCTGGGAGCGCTGATTTGGGGAAGGCTGTCTGGAGAATGCAAGCTGAACTTTTGGGGGCCATAGTGTATACAAGGCAAATAAGAACCAAGCTATGCTTTATTTCTGGGGATTCATGGGGGGTGGTTCTATGACTTTCACTTTATAGGGGGGAAAATATAGGCATGAAACAGATGTCTGCATTTTCCCCGGTGGAGCAAACAACAGCCAAGGAAAGGCTGTCTGGGGAATTCTGGGAACTGTAAGACATTTTCTGTTGAAATATGCATAGGATAGTGCCCTTAGATAGGGAAAATTGGACAGGAGGAAAAGAGTAAAACACACGCAAGACCTTAGGCAATTTCCTCAAACCAATTGCCACAGCTACACCCAGAGCTGAATTTAGCAATAATAAACATACATTGGGAGGCCAAATCACAGATATCTTGGTATATTTATGCAAGTACATATACCCTGCTTTTTAAAGGAAAAAGGCCATCACAAAGTGGCTTATGATTTTAAATTGGTATATATACAATTTATACAGCCATAGTACATTCCTTGCATTGGCAAGTTGGACTTAGATGACCTTTGAGCTCTATACCAGTGCAATCTAGCCCCAAGGTAGGGATGCTACAGAGTTTTATAAAATTATGAACAGTGTTAAAAATTGCCCATGCAAACCTTTCTCAAAATACTAACATCACCCATTGTATCGCCCATGGAGATTGAGTGATAAAACTGACAAAGGTAGGTATTTCTTCACGCAAGTCTTGATTAACTTAAAGGAATTCACTGCCACAAAGCATTCTTATGGTCATATACCATAAAGATTTTTTTAAGGATTTCACAAAGTCATGACAAGAAGCACAATGACTATTAGTTGCAACAGCTAAATGGATCCCCCACATACAAGGGCAGTATACATCAATATCAGATGCAGGTGGGGAAAATAGAAGTTTATGAGTTTTGCAGAAGCACATGTCTGGCTGCTATTGAAGCAAACAGATAGACCTTATATCTGACCCAGCAGGGTATCTTCTAGGTGGATTTTAGGAGATTTTGACATCCAGGCCACAAGAACATGACAACAGGCTGAGTTCTACCACTGGATTTCTGGTGCTATTTTTGGCCAGTGAAGCTTCCCAACACCATCAAGGGGGTGTCAACTTCTATTTTGGCCCTGGGTGACACTCAAGCTTGACAGTTTATTTTGGGCCAGTGGGTATTTAAATTGGTGTGAATTGTAGCAAGCACAACAAATGAAAGCACAGAGAGGCCAGATGAGGGCGAGAGGTCTATTAAAAGCAAGGTCTTGCCCCGTCATGTTCAGATCTGAAGTTTGACAGGCCAGATTCAGTAGCTGAAATCCTAAGAGATGATGCAGCAATGATCAAAAAAGAAGGAATTGCAGAGTGTGTGCTTGTATGCAGATGGGGAAACTGAATAACTGCTGGCCACAAAAACACATGGCATGTTGTTGCTAGTTCAAAAATAAATATATGCAGGTGTCTTCCATGCCAAAGGGCAGCCTAGGAAAGATCCAGCAAGATTAGCCAAGTGAAGAGCATGGCATGTGACTAGTGCAACCTATCTGTTTCTTCTGCATTAATAAGACAGAAATGAGAAAAGAGCCAAATACTTCTGCATAATGCAAGGGTGAGGAACTTGTGATCCTCCAAATTTTTAGCCTACAATTCTCATCAGTCACAGCCAGCATGGCCAGCAATGAGAGATCATGAGAGCCATAGGTCAAAACAGCAGGCGGAACAAAAGTTGCTCGCCCCCAGAGTGGGAGCCCTTTCTTCAGGCATACTATGCATCCTCCTCAGCTGCACTGCTGTAAACTCATTTTGCTGGGCACAGGATGAAATCGGCACTTTAGTTTTTATGCATATGGCATAGAACAGCTTTGTAAGTAAATGTGCAGAACTTATGAGCTCCTACATGAATTTGCCTGGCCATTAAGATGAATTTGCCTGGCCATTACTTTGTGTCCACCTGCATCTAATATAAGAGGAATCATTACAAAAGGTACAGCCTTTTCACTTGAGTTAACCATGCTGCAGAATTCTTTTCCTGAAAAGGCTGGCTTAATAAAATAATTTTAGACATCAGGTGAAAACCTTTTTATTTGTACAGGCCTTATAGTTCTGGGTTTATTTTATTAAATGCCTTTTGTAATTTAGCAATTTACTGCTAATGTATTTTATTATATGTGCGGTGTTTTTGTTATTTCTACACTACTCTGAAAGCCATTGCTGATGATCGGCTAATACATGTAATGAATGAAACATTTTAAAAGCCTCCCCACTGGGTTACCTCAAGATAATTTTTACATTTCACAGACAGATGAGAATAGGAAACTGGGTGACTCTTTACAAGTCTGACATGCTGTCATTTATTCTGGACTATCCTAAACATGAAGGCATACTTCCATGTGTTTAAGGTGAGTTTTACTATGGGATGAGTATAGAATATACTATCCTGTGAAGAACTGAGAATCTTAGGCTTAAAAATTCCTTATACTGTATGCATCGCTGTGGAAGAAAAAAAAATAGAGCCCATGTCTAGTAATGGCCCAGAAACGAGGAGGCATATATGGCTGTTTTGGCAGGCTGGGGATTTTATTGTATGCCATTTCATGAAATGGAAGATGTCCCAAAATCCAAAAGATGGACTGGAGCTGCAATGAACATGGGATAACGCTCATCTCTGACAGCCATCATTCCAACAGATTCCACCAGGTAAACTAAGTCCAGAAGAGGTTTAGATAGCATGTCTTGTTCCTTCTGCACCTTAAGACAGCCTTCCCCAAGTTGGTGTCCTCCAGCTGTGTTGTAGTATAACTCCTAGCATGGCAGGGCTAGTAATGTGAAACTGCATAGGATTAAAAAAAAACTTTTAGAAATGAAGGTGGGGAAAATCCTGTACAGAACAGTCCTATTT